TAAACATTGTGCCTTTTAACTTAATGAGTCAACGTTGAACATGAATTGTACGTTATTATGAAATACTTTATAAGTATTGTAAAAGTAATATTTGAATATGCGTGAATGTTAATTAATTTAAAATTAATATTAGGAAATATATGTGTTACAATGAATGTTAAATCATTTATCAAATGCTCAATGAAGTAAAATTAGATATTAACTAGCATACATTGACGTGAATAATGAAATGCATTTTTGAATGTAAATTCTAATTAACTTATAATTAGAATTAATAACACTGAAATGCATAAATGAATGTGAATGTTAATTAATAATAAAGAATTCATAAATTAATGAAATCATGAAATGAATATGTCAAATGTGCATATACTTTAATATTAACCAAATTGTTAAATAAATTAAATACATATTGAAAAACGAAAAGTATGTTATTTTTGGAATAATTGAATTATACTAGAGGTAGAATCGTCAAAAAATGGTTCCCACTTGATTAATTAAATGAATGTGAATTTAATTAATTGAGAATTAATAATAAGGAATTCATACATGAATGAAAGTATACATGTGAAATGAATATGTCAAATGTACACCTATATTGATAGTAACTAAATGGTTAAATAAATTAAATATATATTGAAAAACAAAAAGTAAAGTATTTTTGAAATAATTGAATTATAGCAGGAGTAGAATCGTCTAAAAAATGATTCTCACTTGGTGAGCTATTTAATATATTATAGATATAATAATAAAAATTTAAAATTAATAAAATATTTTAATATATAGCCATTGTTTGATCCCCATTTTTTCAAAATACATTTTCATTTCTTCTTTTCAACCATTCATTTTTCAACAAAATATTATTACGCGCAACTCAAAAATTTTTCCTTCATGTTTAACCACATATTTTTCATCAATCAACTATTCCAAAATGCATTCTACGTCAATAAATAGGACTCAAGCAGACCCATATATACACCTATAACAAATTTTTTTTTTGGTACTCCTACAATATTGAGGTTTTGTACACTCGACCTCGGATCACCTCTAAATATGTCCAAATTGGCGTCATTCATCCAATCAAATGATCAATGGATGATTTCCATCCATTTCTCCTCGTTAGACAACCCATTTGACCATTATATTCAATATTTAAAAGGATAAAATGGACCATTCATTATTATCAAGGGCGGACCCACATGGGGTCATGTGGGGTCAAATGACCCCACAAATAATT